GGAGCTGTTCCGTGCTGGTCGCTGAGGAAATACTTGAACTCCGAGCTGTCGATCGCTGGATCGGCTTTCACCGTGGACGAAGCGGAGTCCAGCCCGGGGTCGTCACATGTGGTTGCCGCAGGCATCACGGTATGGTAGGGGCGTAACATTTCCGTCACACGCTTGAGATATTCGGCCAATCACAACGCACTGGATAGCCGGCCAATCAGAGCACACCTCGCTTTTTCAGACCGATGAGCTTTGTAAAAATCGACGTGTTTCAGAAAGGTGGGGCATAGAGAAGAAACAATAATGTACAGTATGTGGAAAATAATGTGTTTTTTGAACCTTAAACCGCATAAACACATTTAATTACACCAAATACACAAAATAATGTTCTTTTTAGCAGCATCATATAACCCCTTTAAGAATTTTCTGCTGTAAATAACTGGAAGAATGCTAGCTATTTGTACTTTTTGGGAAACAGATGTTAACCTTTTTTCCCAGAGTGTCATGTAGAATTAACCATTCTGTCAACATTTACCTCATGTTATTTCATAATGACATTCTTTCTTGTGCAGCAAAAGTCCATTTGCTTTCATAGTATAAACATTCTGATAGATAACCTTTTTTCCTTCTAGACAAGAAAGTCATACAGGTTTTGGAATAACATAAGGGTGAGTAAATGACAATTTTTTTATTTTTTATGTGAACTATCCCTTTAAATTCTTAAATCACACGTGGCATTTACTATAATCTTGTTTTTGTCTGAGTAGAAATTGTAATCTGAAATGGAAAAGTGTAATTGGCTAAAATGCTTTGCTGGGACATAAACGTGTTGATAAAAACAGCACAAATAATGCCCAAAATTGTACTGTGGTTACAGCTGGCCTGATAATTTCTGCTTAGTGTGTGGTGTGGGGGAGCTCAAATTGACTTAAATTGGCATGATTCACATCCCAATCTCAGATGGCAGGCAGTGATTCAGCATCCATTTGGCTTTGTGAAAGGTTCTGCCTTATTTCACCATGATAGGTGGTCTGTTGCACCTCTATATTAGTGACTTTATATGAGATTGAATTTAAAGAACATTTAGGGCTCAATAGGAATACTGTGTCCGTATGGTCTGTGATGAGGCGGTCCATGCATGATCTCCACAGGTGTCCCTGGTGAATTCCAGAATGATTCACAAGGTCTAAAAAGCAGTTACAAATAAAAGATCCCAGACCTGAGAAACCAAAGGGAACTGGGAATTACCTGGCCACAGTGACTTTTGGTTGTGTCAGCATTTATTGTTCGTACTTGTTAAATACTTTAAATTAAATACATCTGGTGGATATTGCATCACAGTGATCCATTACAATGACCTTATATGAGTTCAGTATTAATATAACTAATGCTGAATTGTTGCTATAGTACACATTTTTAGTACGGTGTAGTGGACTTAATTTTTCTAAGTCAAATGGTAGTTTATTGCAAAATAACGACTGTCAGCAGTCAGGTTATACTTGCATTATGTCTTTATAGATGAAGCTTTTGCTAAAGAACTTTATTTTAAGTATTTGAAACAAAACCTTGATCCAAATACAAAGACTGATGTATTACCACACAGAAATATCATTGTGCCAACATCTTCATCTTGCATCACTGCTAAACGACAAGTTGCACATCCAGCGTGTTTCATAACCTCCACTCCTTCTCCACCATGCTCTTTCTTGTGGTCACGGGCACATGGGATGGAGGGATCAGGGTGAGGAGGGGTAGAGGCTATGATTCATTTCCACTGGGCTTTCTTTCATGTTTCCACTGAGTGACGTTTAATAGAGCCTCAGGGGTCTGGTTGAAGCTGCTTCCATGGTGGAGTGTTTGAGGAGTCTGGCTTGCATTTTATCAGACTGAGGGGGCCCCGCAACCGAGAAAGAGGCTGACAACAGCACAAAAGAAGCTTGTTTTGAACCTCCTTGTCCTCGTGATCGAACTCTTAGCTTTATTGTTCTTAATCAACATAGTTTTCACAAATAAACACATCATTAACAGCTGCATGCTGGTATGGAACCTATATTATGAACCCCTGTTGTTCGACTGGTAAAGAATGGCACACACATTCCAATCAAATATATATTGTACCTTGAAGGCTTTTTAAGTTGAATGCATAAATGTAAAGCAAAATAAGAGCGCTTGATTATTATTTGCTGCACAACAAATATGAACTATACACACACTTATGCGTTCACCAGGAGAGCCTTTTGTTTTTCATTAGAGGCTTCTGAATGCCATTCTTACCCCAAAGGTTCATGATCCTGGTGGGATGTGAAGGTTCCAGCATTGTAATTTCTTCACAGGATTCCTTATTATTGAAAAGTCCCATGAGGCACAGAGGAAGAAAAGGGAGGCTTCAGGTAGTTTTGTATGTATGATCTTTTTCCACTGTTAACTTTCTCTCCGTAAGCGTCATTAGTGATACCCACCTGTTACAAACCACTGAATCAGTTGCACTCCCAAAATATAAACGCTTTAAACATTTGGCACTGAAACAAAGAACTTGTCTCAATCAGTAACACTCGTTTAACCCACCTATAACCGCAGACACAAGTTCATTCTACTCTGTAATCAAATTTCACAATGCTGTGGGTGTTTTTTTTTTTTTTTGGGTGATAAAATACTAATTTAGTAGGAAAACTACAACGAGTCACTGAGCCAGTCTATCTTTCTGCTTTGATCCTTGTCTAAGGGATAGTTACTTAAATAAGCTCAAACTCTCTAGGGAAGAATTTCACCCGAGGAAATCTAAATTTAATGCACATTTAATGCACACATGCAAAAATAAAATTTCAGTATCATTACTCCAGTCTTCAATGTCACATGATCATTCCAATATGCTGATTTGGGCAAAGTGTGAGTAAGTCTGAGGTAAATATTAGGTGCTGTTAAGATAGACGTAGCTTTAGTAGATGTGGTAGAGTCTATTGACATGGTATTTTGCGTTCACACTGAGCTGACAGTGCAAATAGAAGTGAATTCACTATCTGTCCTTCTACTTTTTCTGATCTCTCCAACTTTGCACACCTGCACTCTATAAAATACAGGTTTTTATTGGCATCTCCCACGAAGAACCTTTAACATCCATGGAGCCTTTCCATTGCACCAAATGTTCTTTATAGTAAAAAAAAGGTTATTTAGATTATCAATGCACTCTTAAAAATTGGGTTCCAATTTGGGGTGGGGTGTTCTCCAATGTTCCCCAGTGTTCCCCGAAGAACATTTCTCAAAATAACCCTTTTTTCTTAGTGTGAAGAACATTTTAAAACTCTAAAGAACCACTATAAAGAACCTTTTGTGCAATGGATGTTAAAGGTTCTTCATGAACCATTGATGCCAGTAAAGAACCATTATTTTTAGTGTATGTTCTACAGACAAAGAAAAAATTGTACTTTTGAGAACTTTTCACCGAAAGGCTCTTTGGGGAATCCAAAATGTTCTTCTATGGCTGTGAAACCCCCCTTTGAAACCTTTATTTTTAAAAAGTGTGCTACTCAGCTGTGATATAGTGATTATATCAAAATAAAATGAAAAACTGCCAAAAGTATATGAGAAGAAAAATCAAGCTCAATATTTTTCAGCGGTCCAAGTGCAAAAATAAGAACGCTGTCCATGTCAGTCAAAATGAGTCAGTCGAATGCTGTCTAGACATTAAAGACGCAACAAATCAGAACTACATTACTATATGTGTATGCACACACAGACTCCTTTTTTGTTATTACATTTTTTTTAAATAAGAGTAAATTCATTAAAACAATGAAAAAACATAAATGAAAGTATGAGATATTGAAATGTTAAACAAATCAAAATCCCTTATATTGAAGGTTCTACAAAGTAATGATGTGTAAATGATCAACTTTACTTTGGAAGGATAATACAAAGTTGTTCCTGTAAAGTAAATACTTGGCACTGGCACATCAGGTGCACTGTTTTAAAAAAAAACATATCATTATCCATTAATTTTATGGACATTTCTGTTAATGCTAAAACACAAATCTATCTATCTATCTATCTATCTATCTATCTATCGATCTATCAACTGTTCTAAAAAAAGCATATATGATTCTATGCATCTATCCATCATCTATCCATCCATCCTCTACCCATTCGTCTATCAGCTGTTCTATGCGACTATCCATCATCCATCCATCCATTCATCCATTGTTCTATGCATCTACCTATGCATCTATCTATCCATTTATCTCACATTTTATGAATAAATCTTTCGTTCCATCCATCCATCCATCCATCTGTCTCTACTGTTTTATGCATCCATCCATCCATCCATCCATCCATCTATGTATCTACCTATACATCTATCTATCATTTTATGCATCTATCTTTCAAACCATCCATCCGTCCGTCCGTCCATCCATCCATCCATCCATCCATCTATCAATCCGTTTATCTACTGCTCTATGCATATATCCATCATCCATCCATCCATCGTTCTACGCATCTACCTATACACCTATATATCATTTTGTGCATCTATCTTTCCATCCATCCGTTTATCTATTGTTCTATGCATATATCCATCATCCATCCATCATTCTATGCATAACTATCCATCTATCCACCGTTTTGTGCATCTATCTTTCCATCCATCCATTAATCCATCCGTCTATCTACTGTTCTATGCATATATCCATCATCCATCCATCCATCCATCCATCCATCCATCATTCTATGCATACCTGTTCATCTATCCACCGTTTTGTGCATCTATATTTCATCCATCCAACTATATACTGTTCTATACGTCTATCCATCATCCTTCCATCCATCATTCTATCTATGCATCTAACTGTCCATCTGTTTACCCTTCTATGCGTCTATCTTTCTTTCCATCCATCCGTCCATCCTTCCATCAATCTATGCATCTACCTATCCATCTGTCCACCATTCTATGCATTCATCTGTCCTTCTGCCTGTCTTTGAATTTCAGTAGATTTTTTATTGCATCATGTTGTTCATACTCAGGAATAGAATTGGAATGTAAAAGGTATTTTCAATTCAGAATCATGCACAAATCTAGTAAGCCACCATGTAGCGTAAATTTAAGGAGGAGGAAAGAAACAGATTTTCTTACCCATAGGCACCCTTGGTAATCAGCACCAATTATTCAGTTTGGGTTATCCTTATAACCCAGTCTCAACATATGAAAGAAAAGGACACACAAGCTTAGAGTGGATAGAGCATATAAGGCCAGGGTCAGTTGCAATGCACCACCTGTGGAGCCGTTTGGTTTAGATTTCTTGCCTGTAGGCACAAACGAGAGCATGACTGACACCAGAAACCCTGACGTACCTGGTTCTGATTCAAACCACCATTTTTCCTGTCACCTGACCTTTAGATCTAGAACCTCTCGACAGCTGTTTCCTATCTCTACAGAAATTAGGAGACAAAAGAACTTGCTCTTGAAGTACCTTTATTTCAAGTTCATTGTTGTTCCTGGCAATGCATCAAACATTTCAGTGCACTTGTCTTCCATAATAATATTGCCTAGTTGTCACCTCTTTCGCTTTAAGGTGGAACAAGTGGGAACTATTTAAAGATTCAAAAGCAGTAGTATTTTTCCTCCCTAGGCTTAGAGACACTAATGGTCTGCCTTAGATGCACTACACTCTTTCTGCATGAACATCTTCCATCAACATATTTTTCCCACTAAACAGTCTTCCTTTTCAGTGTAATCACTTGTGTATACAACCCCAAAGCATGCAGATCTCTGGAGGTTTTTGCGGGTAAATATTTACCCTAGTCCGATTTCCTCTGGCATGCTCATTCATTATCTCTAGTTGTGGACTTTAATGTGCCAGAAAATGTCTATGTAACAGACTGGAATTTCTTGTTTGTAATTTTTCTCTCGACAAAGGCATGCTTCAGAGAGACAATGAGACCCATGCAGCCAGGATGTTTGGATCAGGTTTGCACTGAAAATGAAACGCCAAGCCAAAAAAGCAGGATGGTAGGAAGTGCTCTTGGCTGTTTCTATGGCTTGCTGAGTCAGTAGTAAACAGTCATCCAAATGTAGAAAGTCATTTTGGGCGTATTTTGGAAATGCATGATGCTTTGCTTTTGATGCCGGCTGTGCTGATGAGTGTAAGAGATCTGTCAGGAGTTGCTGACATCATCCGGATGCCCCAAAGAGAAAGATTTGGCTGCCAACAAAGAAGTTTACCCTCAGAAACCCTATGGAGATGGCATGATGCCAGGCACTCCAATTCACTCCAAACCCTATTCTTGCACTGACATGTCAGATCTTTTCTTCTGGATTTCCCCCAAAGGCTTCTCGCTGGCTCTGGCTCTCTGTGTTTTGTTTCAGCATAACATACTGTATCATGTTAGAGATTTTACCCACTGACCTATTGACCTACAGATGCACATGCTGTGAAAATAGAAGTTTGTTTATGGTGTTTCTTCCATTCCTGTTTGTTCCTTTTATATCCCCAAATGTTGGATATTTTGATTATAAATGTAGGTGTTAAAAATAATAGTTCTTCTGTATTGTTTAGAACATAGCAGATCTTCCCGCAGGCACAAATGCCTGATGTTTGAATGCATAAAAGTGTGACTGCAGCTTAAGGTAAAATAATTCCCAGTTGTTTTTGTTTGTCAGCTGATGAAAGGCATATATCTGTCAGGAAGGTATCATAAAAACTTCAAAAATTTGCACAACATGATGAGGCTTGGAAAGAGAGACCTTTGTTTTATATGGAACATGTGTGGCTATGGTAATTCTGAAGACATTTCAGTGGGTTTCTGAATGGACTGCCACTTTCACATGTTTCACTACATGCAGGTGGATGCTGTAAAATACGCCCAGGCTTGAGGAATGTCTGGTTAAGAAAAGGTTCTTTGATTTGGGCTTTTGTTAAAACGAGATGTGTGCGTGAATGTTGTAATAATATTACAAGCAAAGACTACTTAGCGTATAGTCCCTCAATAGTGCAGTCACATTGATCTTTTTTTTAATTAGTCTTAAAGGAACAGTTCACCCAATATTATTCCCCCAATTAAAACTCTCCTTTTGTGTCCTATGAAAATACCCTCATTGTTCCAGTTGAAAATGTTGACAAGTAAATAATGACAGAATTTTTTTTTCAGCCAGGTTTCAGTTGAATTTTGCTCTTAGAGCTGCCACAAATATGGAGCAAGATCTAATGATAGATTGATAGCTGGGTTGTTTGTTGAGAAAATTATGTTTTGGCTGTTTCTTTCGAGACTTGGCTTTGACTCTATATGCTTATAGCAGTTTCAGCTGCTAATATGTACTTAAGTATTATTACATAAGCAACCTGAGCCGTCTTGTTTGCACTGAGAAACTTATAAAATACTGACAGCATATTATGAAATGTGGTTACAAAAGTGGGTCATATGAGTTCGTAGTAGTTCGATTTTTTTATGTAGACTTTTTATGTACATTTTTATGTCTACTCTATGTCAAGAGTTTGGGGTCAGTAAGATTTTTTTTTAAAAGACACATTAAATGAAAAGTGCTAATGAGCTTTTTAAACTTTTATTCATCAAAGAATTCAGAAAATAATATCACATTTTCCACAAAAATACTAAGCAATATAACTGTTTTCAACTTTGATAATAAGAAAGAAATGTTTCTTAAGCAGCAAATCAGCATATTAGCTTGATTTCCGAAGGACTGGAATAAATTCAGCTTTTCCATTGCATATTAAAATAGAAAACGTATATTTTAAAATGCAAAGATATTTCAGAATATTCCTGCTTTTATTGTATTTTTGATTAAATTACTGTAGCCTTGGTACACATACAATACTTTTTTTTTTTTTTAAACCTTAGACAATTAAACAGACCCAAAACTTTAGACTGATTTGTTGAGGAATTATGCATGGTTTATACAGAATTGATCTACTAAAAGGGGAAAAACAATGGCTGTCGACTGAGTTTTGGTTTGAAATGGGAGTATGTGTGTTTACTTTGGCCCAAGGGGTCTGTTTTGTTGATTTAGGCTTTAACCTTTAACCCTTGACTCCCGCTGAACCTGAGACACCCGGGTGTTTTTCTTCCACATCCGTCGCTCCCTAAGTAGACTCAAAGCCAGTTTGTCATCGCTGAGAGGTTCCACTGCTCTACAATAAACAATCTTGACTGTTGTACAAAAAACTTGCCTGTCTCCAGGTTGTTTAGAGACTGCTTAAATTACATGCTTTCAACATGTACGACCTTTTAATGATGGTTCAGCCCATGGAAAGTCCATGCGCGCTCAGCAGATTTGAGAGAAACAAACTGAGAGTAGATAAAGCGCAGTGAATTCTTCACTTCTATCTGTGGAATTTGTGCGGTTCCTCATTGCCGGGGGTGTGGGGTCATGTTTTAGCAACACTATCAAGTTCACATGTCAGTGGATTGTTACTAAGGTACTACGTCTCACCTTTGTTTTATATGGAACATGTGTGGCTATGGTAATTCTGAAGACATTTCAGTGGGTTTCTGAATGGACTGCCACTTTCACATGTTTCACTACATGCAGGTGGATGCTGTAAAATACGCCCAGGCTTGAGGAATGTCTGGTTAAGAAAAGGTTCTTTGATTTGGGCTTTTGTTAAAACGAGATGTGTGCGTGAATGTTGTAATAATATTACAAGCAAAGACTACTTAGCGTATAGTCCCTCAATAGTGCAGTCACATTGATCTTTTTTTTAATTAGTCTTAAAGGAACAGTTCACCCAATATTATTCCCCCAATTAAAACTCTCCTTTTGTGTCCTATGAAAATACCCTCATTGTTCCAGTTGAAAATGTTGACAAGTAAATAATGACAGAATTTTTTTTTCAGCCAGGTTTCAGTTGAATTTTGCTCTTAGAGCTGCCACAAATATGGAGCAAGATCTAATGATAGATTGATAGCTGGGTTGTTTGTTGAGAAAATTATGTTTTGGCTGTTTCTTTCGAGACTTGGCTTTGACTCTATATGCTTATAGCAGTTTCAGCTGCTAATATGTACTTAAGTATTATTACATAAGCAACCTGAGCCGTCTTGTTTGCACTGAGAAACTTATAAAATACTGACAGCATATTATGAAATGTGGTTACAAAAGTGGGTCATATGAGTTCGTAGTAGTTCGATTTTTTTATGTAGACTTTTTATGTACATTTTTATGTCTACTCTATGTCAAGAGTTTGGGGTCAGTAAGATTTTTTTTTAAAAGACACATTAAATGAAAAGTGCTAATGAGCTTTTTAAACTTTTATTCATCAAAGAATTCAGAAAATAATATCACATTTTCCACAAAAATACTAAGCAATATAACTGTTTTCAACTTTGATAATAAGAAAGAAATGTTTCTTAAGCAGCAAATCAGCATATTAGCTTGATTTCCGAAGGACTGGAATAAATTCAGCTTTTCCATTGCATATTAAAATAGAAAACGTATATTTTAAAATGCAAAGATATTTCAGAATATTCCTGCTTTTATTGTATTTTTGATTAAATTACTGTAGCCTTGGTACACATACAATACTTTTTTTTTTTTTTTAACCTTTAGACAATTTTTTTTTTTTTTTTTTTAAACCTTAGACAATTAAACAGACCCAAAACTTTAGACTGATTTGTTGAGGAATTATGCATGGTTTATACAGAATGGATCTACTAAAAGGGGAAAAACAATGGCTGTCGACTGAGTTTTGGTTTGAAATGGGAGTATGTGTGTTTACTTTGGCCCAAGGGGTCTGTTTTGTTGATTTAGGCTTTAACCTTTAACCCTTGACTCCCGCTGAACCTGAGACACCCGGGTGTTTTTCTTCCACATCCGTCGCTCCCTAAGTAGACTCAAAGCCAGTTTGTCATCGCTGAGAGGTTCCACTGCTCTACAATAAACAATCTTGACTGTTGTACAAAAAACTTGCCTGTCTCCAGGTTGTTTAGAGACTGCTTAAATTACATGCTTTCAACATGTACGACCTTTTAATGATGGTTCAGCCCATGGAAAGTCCATGCGCGCTCAGCAGATTTGAGAGAAACAAACTGAGAGTAGATAAAGCGCAGTGAATTCTTCACTTCTATCTGTGGAATTTGTGCGGTTCCTCATTGCCGGGGGTGTGGGGTCATGTTTTAGCAACACTATCAAGTTCACATGTCAGTGGATTGTTACTAAGGTACTACGTCTCGACTTGCCCAAAAAATGTGGTTGTTTTTCCTTTTATTTGTTAGAATTTGTTCACTAGTTACACTGTCTTCTAATCAGATGCTTCGCAACAAGTTTCCAGCAATAAGCAATTTGTCTGTTCGTACTGAATATGAATATGTTATTGGTCACACTTTATTTTAAGGTCCAATTCTTGCTATTAACAAACCATTAACTACCACGTTTGGCTCTATAAACTCCTGATTTGCTTATTAATAGTTAATGTTAAATTTAGGTATTGGGTATGATTAGGGATGTGGAATACGGTCATGCAGAATATGTGCTTTATAAGTAATAAACAGCCAATATGTTAATAATAGGCATGCTAATAAGCAACTAGTTAATAGTGAGAATTGGTCACTATACTAAAGTGTTACCCTGCTGTTTGATAATATTGATGTCAGATGCATTAGAGTGCTGCATTTTAGCACTTAGATTTTAAACCAGTGAGACAGAGAGATTGACAAAATGTCCTGTCACTCATCCTTTGTTGTGGTAAAAATAATTGCTGTTCGTCTAAAAAAGTCCAAAACCTCAAGTAATTGGCTACTCATTTTTAGCCACTCGCTTAGTCTGTTATATCTTCATGATAGTTGGACCTGCTTTCAGAGATAAAGCAACATTTAAACAAGTGACTTTTTTCTTTTCAGACTTCCTGCTTTATATTTCTAAATGTTTTATGGTTGTCTAAATATAGTTTGTGCTTAAATTACAGCTTTTAAAAGACTCCCTATGGCTATGAGAGGCGGAAGGATTTTTAAAAGCATTTAAAAGAAATAGTTCACCCTATACCACCCCTGGCCTCTTAACCAAGCATAAATTAGAGAGAAAGAAGGAGGTATAGAGAAGGAAAAAGAGTGAGAAGGAGGCTTCTAAACCCACACAGCTGGAGTAGAGAATTGTGATGAGGTTTGGGGAAGGAGAGAAATTGGGGCAATCTGACTTTCCCCTCCAGGCAGCTAACCTCCCAGCCCATTAACAGAACCATTTCCTTGAAATTTGTGTGAGGAAATTGACTGTGATAATGCTTCTTGCAAATTATCAGTGACGTATGACCAACTGTTGCACAGCTATAATTTCACAAATTTTGCTCCCAATTTAGACAGCAAGGCTTTATTTGCACCTTCACCTTACTGTTTGTCCAACCAGAACACCCTAGCAACCACCTAGCAATGCCCTAGAAATTACAGTGTTATTTTAGTACTATTTATGTACTATTGTATTATTTATTCATATTCAAGCTTTTATTTTATATTTTAGTTTGTTTATATTTTTTAATTTTAGTTTATATTTTTAAGTTTATATTTAGTTTACATTTAGTTTACATATTAGTTTACATTTTTAAGTTTTGTTTTATGATTTTCTTTTTTTTTTATACATTTCTAATTAACTTTATTTATTTTTCATTTCAGTTTTTTTTATTTTAGTACTTCAACCTAAACTCATTTTATTTCCATTAGTTGCCAGGCAGCATCTCTAATTTTTGTTTACATTTATGTTTTCATCTAAAATTTCTATTTTATTTGAGCTTTATTTCAATAAACAAAACAAAAACGAAATTAATAGTTTTAGTTAACAATAAAAATACTGCTAGCATTGCCTTAGAAACCCTAGCATCCGGTGTTATTTTAATATTATTTATATTAATATTTTGAATGACCTTTTTATATATGTTTTTATTTTTAGGTTATATATATATATATATATATATATATATATATATATATATATATATATATATATATATATATATATATATATATATATATATATCAATAGGTCAATAGGGATTTCGCCTAGGGCGCCAAATTGGCTAGAAACGGCCCTGAATACACTAAAACACAACAACACATTAGCCCCCAAACAAACCCAGTTTAATAGTGTAGCATCTATAAATGAAGGTCAAATGTACATTTGATTGACAGTTTATGTGTGTGTTGACAGGACTGGCCTCAAAAGACCCATCACCATGGCCTGAAGAAGAGGGGCCGACTTCATGACATTCAGGACATCCTGAGTGAAGACTCTAGCAATAAAAGAGTACATCCACACTCGACTCTTCCCAAGAATGACACTGAGTTCTGGAACAGACCTCGCTGTGGAGTCCCAGACTACCCCTCACAGAAGGAAGGGTACTCAACCCTTAATTACTCAACCCTCAAAGGAGGTTTGCTTGAGGGCCGTCATCGCCGAAAACGCTTTGATTTGTTCGGAGGCCGCTGGGACAAAACAGACCTCACATACAAGTAAGACTTGCACAGATAGCGGTTGCGGTTGTATCTGGTTGCTGTGTCTACACTTAATGAGATGATAGGCATAAAATGAATTAAACATTAAAGCGTAAATGGGAGAAAATGACTTTGATGCATTGCCAAGATACTATTTTGTGCCTTACACAACAAAGGCCACACTGAGGCAATAATATAGCTTATTTTTGGTATCCTAGCTCCCAGTCAACACACATTTGACTGAATCTATGCATTAAAGTTTTTTTTCTTATTACAGAGTGTGTTTAAATTAAACATTTGCAGTTCTTCTTCCTCCTTTTATCTCAGAAATACACTATTTCCCAGCCCACACAGGAAATACTAATTTCTAATGTTTCTTTCTTTATCTTCTCACATTTCTTAAAGCTGTTATCAGTTCTAAAAAAAGACCACACACTCTTTTCACTAGTACACCCACTTAATTAGAAGCAATAAGCTGTCTCAGACCCGGGACTGCATGGCTCCAGAACACAGCGAGAAATATGTATCAAGCCCCCTTTGATTTAAAGCAGTAAATCAATTTCTTAAACACACACAGTCGCTCGCTACTTCAAGTCGACCTGAATTTCATTGGTTTTTAAAGGAATAGTTCACCCAAAATGAAACGTGTGTCCTCTTATACCTACCCTCATCATTCCAAACCTGTTCAACTTTCTTTCTTCTGCAGAAAATAACATATTTTGAAAATGTCTCAGGGTTTGTTTTCTTAAACACACAATGAAAATCCATTGACTTTCATCAGTTGACCTCAGTGACTTTTTTCAAAATATGCTCTTTTGTGCTACACAGTTTGGAATGACATGAGAGTGAGTAAATGATGACAGAATTTTCATTTTGAGTGAACTATCCCTTTAAGAAGCCTTTGATTGACATGATGGCCTTACTATTGTATTTGTCTGGTCACCACTTCATGTTTTGACTGATTTGCCTCATATATCTCTGTCAAAGGCGGTTCCCACCGGACATAGTACTCTCTGTAATCTGAAGTCAGTGAGGTCACGACCCGACTAGGAGAAGATGTTACATTTCAGAGCACTCATGTGTGTTATGGGCACAGAGCCCAAATGGTTCTAGTTTTCTCTTCAGTGCTCAGCAGGGGGTGAGATGAGGATCCAGACAAAGAAATCCAGCCCTACAACCACTGATTAAAACGGTCACTTAATTTATGGCCCTTCCCATAAAATATTACAACCTATAAATCTCCCATGGTCTCAAAGGCGGTTCCCACCGGACATAGTACTCTCTGTAATCTGAAGTCAGTGAGGTCACGACCCGACTAGGAGAAGATGTTACATTTCAGAGCACTCATGTGTGTTATGGGCACAGAGCCCAAATGTTCTAGTTTTCTCTTCAGTGCTCAGCAGGGGGTGAGATGAGGATCCAGACAAAGAAATCCAGCCCTACAACCACTGATTAAAACTGTCCCTTAATTTATGGCCCTTCCCATAAAATATTACAACCTATAAATCTCCCATGGTTCTACATCTGAATTAAGCCACATTGCTGTAGGAAAGACTAGTCTTTGTGTCTGCATCCAATAAAGATAGTCAAAACAGAAAAAAAGTATTTTCTTTAGAAAATCATGGGAAGTTTAAGGGGATCTGAACTCTTTATAATCCATGGTTTTCCTTTGCTGTAAATAAAAAAATTGGTTCTCGCGAGACTAGCATATTCTCATCCGAGGTTGCGCTACGCCTACATCCTACGTCATCCGCTGGAAAATGAAGAATGTTGAATTTTAATATTGATCCATTTCTTACAATTCATGCCTGTACTGTAAATTTACATATAACAAGTTGTATTTTTTTTATTTTTGGGGTAGGTTGCACCCTGAAAATGACCATTAATGATTCCTTTAAAAAAAACCTCTGAAATCATTTTACAATTTGTATACTAAGTGCTGCCTCATCAGAATCTGATGTCAAGACAGCAACTCGTGCACATATTTTATCTCCAGCAAACCCCAGTCAGCAGCATTCTAATGCTGTGCCACTATGAGCTGTCGTGACTCACGTCTCTGAAGGTTGTTTATGGGCTATAGCACCTCACTGTCCTCTGTAATTTGTCCCTTCACTTAATGACGGACTGTACATGTGCAAAATGAACTCAAACACACCAACCTCCCCCCCCCATCCTACCCCCACCATTCTGTCAATTCAGTTACTTCAATGAGTCTGTAACCTTAAGGAAATCTGTGTCTTTCATGTCACATGTGTGCAGTGGATTGAGGTCTGAAGTCATTTTGCATGAGGCACATCTTCAGTAAAACATAATGAATGACACCTGTGCACTAAGTTTGTCCATTAAAGCCACCATTGGATCAGATGGTTAGACGTTACTGCTGAAAGTAGTAAAAACAAAACAACACAAAAAAATAGAGAAAAGAAGCCACTTGTTAGGAACGTTGAAATCAGTTGTGCTGTTTAATACTTTTGTGGAAACCGTGATCCATTTTTTCAAGATTCTTGTTAAACAGTAAGCTCAGAATAACACTATTTGAAAGTGATGCTTTAAAGATATGTTATTTGCTAAATTAAATAAATACCAAATGATTACATGATCTTTTCTCATTTTTAAAGCATTATTTTATTTTATTTATTTATTTTTCACAAACCCAAAGATGCCTCTTTTGGTCCCCTGGGAGTCCCTAGACCCCAGTTTGAAAACCCCTGACATATAAGTATCTATAAAACCTATTTGGGGCCGCTGTATTTGCACTTTAAAGCCACTAATCTAAACCTGATTTACGTTTCATCTATTCTTTTGGGGTAGTAGCCATAGTCCTAGGTCAGCAAATAGGGAGGGATTCTCTAATTGTAGCAGCGAATAAGGACAATGTTTAAAGCCACAGACTACCACACTGGGCTCTCTCCCGCTGTCATAGCTCCTGTCTGGGCTTGCAGACAGTTTGTGGCTCCAACATTCAGCCCCAGAGCGATCCCTGTCCCACAGAGCTAATAATGACCAAAGCATGAAGGTGTCCAAGCATGAAAACAACACAGAGCAGAGGTACCAGTCACTATAGCTGCAGGTCGGGAGCTAAACAATACTTCAGATGAGGTGCTTTAAGACATTTTCTTTTTCTTTTTTTTATGAAATGCACTAAAGGGAAGTTTTGTGGAACATGATACAGATTTGTGGTCCACCAGCTTAAATGGGCTCAGTGGGGATTCTGCTAGTGAAAATAAGCATGCATGCCTTCATCACTCAGCAAGCTTTATAATGTAGCTCGTCTTTCATCTGAGAGAAGTTAAAACTTGTGGGCTCATGAGAGATGAAAGTAGCATTTTAATTTATAAACAGCATTTAAAATGGGTAAACTGCTGGTTTAGAATAGAAAGAGCAGTTTTTTATGGCTTTTTATGGTTCGTTTCAGCCCCAGAGCGATCCCTGTCCCACAGAGCTAATAATGACCAAAGCATGAAGGTGTCCAAGCATGAAAACAACACAGAGCAGAGGTACCAGTCACTATAGCTGCAGGTCGGGAGCTAAACAATACTTCAGATGAGGTGCTTTAAGACATTTTCTTTTTCTTTTTTTTATGAAATGCACTAAAGGGAAGTTTTGTGGAACATGATACAGATTTGTGGTCCACCAGCTTAAATGGGCTCAGTGGGGATTCTGCTAGTGAAAATAAGCATGCATGCCTTCATCACTCAGCAAGCTTTATAATGTAGCTCGTCTTTCATCTGAGAGAAGTTAAAACTTGTGGGCTCATGAGAGATGAAAGTAGCATTTTAATTTATAAACAGCATTTAAAATGGGTAAACTGCTGGTTTAGAATAGAAAGAGCAGTTTTTTATGGCTTTTTATGGTTAGTTTGTGGGAGGAATCAATGGTGGTGTGATAGTAATCTCTGGACCAGAAAAGATCTAATTCAAGATAAATGCAACCTAAAAAGAATGCTATAAAAGGGATAGTCCACCCAAAATTGCTATAAAAAATGCTATAAAAGGGATAGTCCACCCAAAATTGACTAATTTCAGCTATAATTTACACAAAAGAAGCTATTTTGAATAACTATTGACTTCCATTGTATTTTTATTCATACAATGGAAGTCAATAGAAACTTAAAATGTATTTACCAAAATCTTTCAAAATATTTTCTTGTGTTTCACACAAGAACAAAAGTCATACAGGTTTGGAACAACATGAGGGTGAGGAAATGATGACAGAACTTTCCTTTTTGGGTGGACTATCCCTTTAAAGCCGCTAAAATTGTCAGTAATGCAGTGTATTGTGAATTGTAAAAAAAAAATCCTACTAAATGACAAGAAACAAAAGAGTCTTGAAATATGTTATGTATTCCTGTAAGGCTTATATGCACTTAAAGGAACCTGGATAGGGGTACCATCACTGTCACAATATCAAGTATCACATGTGTTCTGTTATTATGGTCAGAGAGCATTGTTGTAGTAGGTACCATGTCTAATCCATTCAGAATGAGCTTGTCTTTCACAACAGCCAGATTCTGATCCAGTCCCTTGGTTCACTACCAAGAAGGGTAGCAAACATGTTCAAATAAAGGGAATTATTGGGGTAATGCACCAGAGACCAAATGAAAATCGCATGGGTGGTCTGTAGTGAGCGTTTATGAGTGTTTGTGCTCGTGTTACAGGATCATGCGGACGCCTTGGCAAATGAGTTTAGAGAAAGTCAGACATGTGCTGAGAGAGGCACTGTGGGTCTGGAGTGACGTCACCCCTCTCACCTTTACTGAGGTCACCAGTGGCCGGGCGGATATCTTGATTGACTTTAACAGGTAAAAAAAAGAAGAAGATATTTTCACTGTTTTCTGTGTCTGTTATGTTTTTAAAGGGGTCATAACATACATTTAATCATTCCACTCCAGTTGAGGTCCAGTTCTAATGTTAGATCAAGAAGTCATATGTGACCATTTTTCACCCTGTTTGATGCTTTTTTCTATTGAACCTTTAGGAACATGCACATTTCTTTTGTTGTGATTGGCTAACATTTTTGCATATGTAATGACTTTGTAGGTTTGCAGAGTTGTGACATCATAACCACAAAGAATTATGAACGAGTTGTACTTGCATCTTACAGTAATTTCAATAATAAGTCTTAGGATCTTTTTGGATTAGGAAGAAAAAGTTTTGAAGATTACAGTATGTTTTATAGTAAATGAAACTACTTCCTCTGTTGGTAATATTTTACATTTCAGCTGCCATTACTCCAGTCTTCAGTGTCACGTGATCCTTCAGAAATCATTATTTGGATTTGGTGCTTAAGAAACTTTTCTTATTATCAATGTTGAAAACAGTTGTGCTGCTTAATATTTTTATGGAAACTGTGAGATATATATATATTTTTTCAGGTTCAAAAGAACAGCATTTATTTGACTAAGACATTTTTTGTCAGTTTACTGTCACTTTTGATCAATCCTTTATTTTAAAAGATTAATAAAAATCTGATTTGTACTGCTATTAAAGCCCTTTAAAGTTACATCCCAAGATTTATCGAAAACAACACTGCAATGAAAAAATTAACATATTCAGCACACTTTGACTGGCCTTTTATATTCTGTATATCATCGATGAAATACTGTTTCTCTGGCCTCTCATTTGACAGAGCTTGTAACACCATATTGTCAGTTCAGAGATGTGTGTTCATTGACACAAAGAGGAAAGGTTTCCACTTGACTAGTCAAACACAGACGCTTTTCATCTCCAAGCTGGAGATTAGAGAGGGTGTCGGTTTAGGATTATAGGTCGAAAATTTACACTGCACGTCCATTCATGCACGTGTGTTACTTCTTAAATTCCCATAGTAAGAAAAGTCATAACTCAGAACACCTGTGTGGTTTAGTTCTACATATGGACATGCAACACTGCGCCTCAACATCCCTTTCTTTTTGAAAAACTAACCTTAATGTTGAAAAGCATGACTTGTGGTAGCACAGTATTACTACAATGCACTGTTTGAGCTTTTAAGTGTTTGAGTCCTCTATCATTTTGCACATTGTTTGTGGAAGAAACCTTTGTGTATTTCTGTGATAAAACAATTATGTTATTTGTGTTTCTAAATTCAAGTGATAAATGTAATTTTGGGGCTCTTTAATGTGGTGTTGGCATCACTTTAGCTTTTCCTTTTTACTACTAGTTATAAAACAAAATAAAACATTAATGGAAATCATAAGGTATGTTGAAAGATACAGTACAACAAATGTCTGAAAATTGTTTCAAAGGTTTTGAGCCCATTTTCTCAAAAACATTCAACTCAAAATGATGAAGCAGGAGAAAAGTGCTTGATTTACAGTATGCGTCACACCAGACCCATATAAATGCTATGTCTCTTTCAAAAGGAAGTTTTGCTGAAACCAGTGGCTTTTTCTCTTCATTTTCTGTTTGAAAATGAAAGTCCCTCTGAAAACTTGGCTTCCTGTTAAAGCGCTAATGTACAGTTGTTATGTTTCTGAGATACGCACGTATGAAGCTCTAATGAGGGATACCACTATTCTTCAAAGCAGAGGAAACATCTAGATCCATCTGGCATAAAGCAAAACATCTGGAGGTCGGTTCAGTGAAGTGTGGGACTCTAGGCATGCCAGTTTCATTTGTTCTGACTCAATCTGAGATTCCATCAATGGGATAGCAGTGGACCGGACATTTGTGGGTTTGATTTAACCAGAATAGTGGCCTTCTTTGACCTTTCAGGTCTGCCAGGTTTGAAGATCTACAATCCTGCGTAATTTAACCTCTCAGCATTTCACAATGGAAAATTTAGGGTTCAGTTTATTCAGTACCATTCAGCCATTCCGTTAAAGACAAGGGAATCAGGAAAGTTACTGAGGTGTGACAGTTACATAGGCTATAATGCTGTACGATTACATGATAGAAACAGCATTGTCTCTGTTCAGGTCATTATTCTCACCCTCGTTTAATCATTCTATGTAATGAAGTGTGCTTATAAAGTTCTTTCAGCGATCAGTTCATCAGGCATGTTGATGAAATAAGAGAACGGGAATCATTGGTTTTGTGCTGTCGTCTGAGAGACTGTGTTTCACATTCAGGTACTGGCATGGAGACAATCTTCCTTTTGATGGCCCAGGAGGAATTCTGGCTCATGCCTTCTTTCCCCGAACCTACCGAGAGGGAGACATTCACTTTGACTACGATGAGACTTGGACAGTGGGCAACAGTATGGGTGAGTGAGGGTCCTGGTTCATTTGGTGTGACTTTTTAGCTACAATAAAGATATATATATATTTTTAATCATAATTGGAAGTTATATCTCACAGTTTTTCTCAGAATCTTTCAAGTAATTGAGGGTTTACATCTCAAAATTTAGAATTTTTTATTTACATTTTTTTTAAATTCTGAGTTTACATCACACAATTTTGAGACAGAATAAAAAAATAAAAAAGCTAACATGCAACACTGCATCTCGCAGTTCTGACTTTTATCTAAAAAATCTCATGATTCTAAGTTTATATCTCGCAATTGCAAGAAAAAAGCGATATAACGAGATATAAGCGATATAAATTGCTTCCAAATTAGTTGGTCAAATGTAGTTAATCTAGTACTTATAAATAAGCAATATCACACAACAACAAGAGCGCTGTTGTTCCAAATATGCTTAAATTCACACACGACTGCAAGTAATATACTGTATTGCTTTATATGAGTGTTCATCAAAAGTCTGAATAACTTTAGCATTTTAAATATTATTATTTTGCATTTTAAATATTACAAGTTGCTTTGTCCATTTTGCTGTGCTGACTATTATACATACAAATGACATTAAAGCAAAATCATTATTTACATCTCCAAGCAACATACTGTAGTGGTGTATTGTCCCTGAATGAATCAGTTTTCTTGAATGAATCGTTTGTTTGAATGATTCAAAACTCAGTCATTAAGCCAGTCACTTGTTTTATACCTGAATGAATCAGTGTTTGTAATGAATCGGATGAGAGAATGGTTCAAGGACTCACTCATAAAGCCAGTCACTTTTTCTTGTTTCCTGAGGGAATCAATGCTTGAAAGAATCGGCTGTATCCCTCAACGATTCACCCATAAAGTCTGTTGCTTGTCGCTTGCTACTGTTGTAACTCTGCAACCTGCAGAAAAAAAAATTGTTTGTTTTATCACGTACAAATGGATTTCCACATAAATATATGATGCATGGACTGCATACCATACTATGTCATTTTAAACCCCCTTTTTTAATCCTCTTATTTTCTACTAGGTACTGACCTCCTCCAGGTGGCTGCTCATGAGATCGGTCATGTTTTAGGATTGCAGCACTCCATGGCACCAGGCGCAGTGATGTCGCCTTTCTACACTTTCTCCTACCCACTCCAACTGAGTGAAGATGATAAGCGAGGTATACAGTCTTTGTATGGATCCAGACACGCGGATGATAAAGTAAAGACGGAGGAGAGAACTCCCGAGGTCACAGAAACTAATGAGATTGAAAGCACGGTGGTGAGTTATATGGCTGATTGTATCTGATCTTGGGAATCTTGGGAATTCTTCTTTATTCTTCTCATTCTCTTTTTTTCTCCTTATTTCCTATATTTTCAGCCTGATGCTTGCCAAACTGACTTTGATGCTGTATCTATGATCCGAGGTGAGCTGTTTTTCTTTAAGTCGGGTTATGTATGGCGGATCCGTGATGGTAAACTCCAGACTGGATATCCTGCATTGGCATCCAGGCACTGGAGAGGAATCCCAGGTGACATTGATGCTGCTTTTGAGGACAAATCTGGAAATATCTGGTTCTTCCAAGGTAAACGGTCTCTAAATAAATAAGATGTTTTTGAAATAACTCTCTTATGCTCACCAAAGCTGCATTGATTTGATCAAACAATACAGTAAAACAATAATATTCTTAAATATTAATATAATTTAATTGTTTTAACTATTTTAATATATTTAAAAATTAAATTTAATTCTATGTTGGCATCCAAAATAAAAGTTTTTGTTTACAGAAAATATATTTGTGTGCTGTGTATATTTATTATGTATATATAAATACACACACATTCATGTATATATTTCAGAAAAATAGGTTATGTTTATATATTAAATATATTTATTTATAATATAAATTATATGAATATAAAGATAGACATGTAAATACATGTAAATATTTTATTAAATGTATACTGTATGTGTGTGTATTTATAATACATAATAAATATACATGGAACACACACAGATATTATGCAAACAAAAAAATAAATATATATTTCTTTAAAAAAAAAAGGAATTCCAAAAGAACATTTCAGCTAGCATCAGAAAGTGTATATATTTATAATCCAGATGTCTTTTGGTGGTCTAATTATCCAGCCTAAATCAGTCAACTAAATCAGGGGTTCATGACGAATGGAAAATTCATAAACCGTGATTGAATATAACCTCTTTCACCCACCATTCTCTCTGTAGGCCAGAGTTACTGGGTTTTTGATGCAGAGCGGCAGATCACAGGGCCGGACTCTGTACGACGACTAGGTCTAACAGTGACTGACATTCAGGCCGCCCTCATGTGGGGAGAAGATAAGGCCCAGAAGATCTTCTTCTTCAAAAAAGGAAGCTACTGGCGATTCAACCTGAAGGAAAACCGCGTTGACTCAGTCCACCCTCGTAGCATGAGGGACTGGAGGGGCATACCGGATGACATTGACGCTGCTTTCCAGGACCGATTCGGTACGGCTGTCACTGAGACATTATTTCTTGCATGTTTTTGAATCTGCAAAGGATGGAGGGAGTTTAAAAAGTCATTGAATGTTTCTTGGTTCATTATTACTCCACAGGCTTTGCCCACTTCTTGAGAGGGAAGCAGTACTGGAAGTTCGACCCAGTAGAAGTGAGGGTGCTGGAGGGATACCCACGATATATTGGCATGGATTTCTTTGATTGTTCTGCAGCCCTGTATCGATGAATCACTGGTACAACTAGATGTAATTTAGCCCAAATGTAATGCTGATCTTTGTCACGCACCTAGTGCAACAGGCAGTTTCCACATGTTTAACTTTGAACCAATCTAGGCCTAGTATTTTTATTTATATCACGCAAAGTGTCAGATGTACAGTCTCTAAATCTGACCACTGGATCAAACTTTTTTTTGTGTGAATTCAAGCAGATACTGTTTATCTACTCAGTCTGTGACTCAAGATGCTACATCTGCGCCAATTAATCTCATCTGCAAAACAATGACTCTCATTACTCAGGAAAAGCAGGAAATTCTGGCTAAAATATTTTTCGTATATATTTTATGTACTTGGTTATTTATTATTTGTATATTTTTGGCAGTATTGATAGTGTTAGGAAAACATAACGGCCATTCTTTTTGAGAAATACCATATTGTGCCATTAGTGACGTGCTGTTGATTACCACAGAAGACAATTTTGTTCTTAAAAAAACGAGCAAAGATTGCATTAAACCTAATGCACTTACAGTGGAAATCTATAAGGCAAGTAATTTAAAACAGAAATCTTACTGAAGCGAATACTAATAACATTTAGTACAAAAACTTGAGGTAAACATGTACATCAAATATTAAAGCATCCTAAAAACCAACTGTGTAGTTCTCAGAGCAACAATAATGTAACTATTTTTTACTGAACTTTGTAGAGATAGCTGAACATTTCGTATTTTGTTTGAAGCTTTGAAGGGCCTGAACTTTAGAGTGTAGAACCATGATGCTGTACTTTCAGTATTTTTAATGAGAAATGGCAATTTGATGTGACACAAGTGACCTTTGGGAATAGCTGTCAATGTGAACGTCCATTTATGCTTAACTTAAGTCTGTAAGAGACTTATGAAGACCTGTTTTTCAATAGTGATAATGTATATTTTACAGTGCAGGTCACTGATGCTGTTCATGTGTATCTAATGAAACATTTTGCATGATAATGATGGCTTTTGTTCTAGGGAAACTGTACACTTCTCATTCACTGCTATTATAATGTTTGTCATGTAATTGATTCTTTCTATTGTTATTGTTTTTAATGATCAATTTACACTCTTAAAAATAAAGGTGCTTCATGATGCCATAGAAGAACCTTTTTGTCTAAATGGTTCCATAAAGAACCTTTAACATCTAAAGAATCTTTCTGTTTCACAAAAGGTTCTTTGTGGCGAAAGAAGGTTCTTCAGATTACAAAAAGGTAAGAAAGAGATGGTTCTTTAAAAAACCTTTGACTGAATGGTTCTTTGTGGAACCAAAAATGGTTCTTCTATGGCATCGCTTGAAGAACCTTTTGAAGCACCTTTATTTTTAAGAGCGTACTGTGTAAATATTTTGTAAAAAGAATTGTATTATATTTTCAGCTCCAATAAAAACCTCTCTTTGTTTATACTCTGAATTATCTGTTGTCTGGATTCAATTCAGAAAATGCTGACAAGAGGTTTTGTTTCTACGAATCATCATATTATGAAGTTTCAGCATAAAGATTTTGTTTCTACATTACTTTCCCTCACAGGTGGTTGGTAATATTATCAGTGTTTGCGTTTCTTTAAATTCAGTCTCTTCTATGTCCAAAAAGGCGATTTTTATGAAAATTAACAGACTTTTATTTCATTTTTTTATATGAGGATCACATTAAAGCTGTCTTAGAATTTATTTACCATGCCTCCATCATTTATTTTTGCTCCTTTTTTCCCCTTTTTGTCCTTGACTCAGACTTTCAATCTTATTGAACTCAATCCATATCATACAATTTATTTACAGCTAAAAATATATTTCATTTCTTTTATTTATAAATCAAAAAGAAAAACAATTCATAATAATAAAAAGAAAACTACTGTAATTATGCATAATTCCCAGTAAAACTGTGTAAAAAAATGTCTAAATATTACTTACCTGTGTATTCAGGATGCATAAAATGCTAGCATATTAGCCTTAGTAGGACAACGGAATTGGTCATTTTATTCAAAAATATTTTAGATGTCATTTCCACCACATGCTATCAGATGCAATAGATCATATGAGATGTGATAGAAAGGACATTATGACGGAGTCAAAAGGGCCAAAAATGCTGATAGTTGAAGAAACACTCTCATATTAGAGAAGCGTGCGCAGCCTGTCTGGTTCTAATATGTTCTATCAGAGGTTTCGGGGTGGAAATGGAAGACGGCTGTTCTACAGGCCCTCCTGCCGAGACAATTCCAGAGTCCTGCTGTCTTGGCTTGTTTACAGACTGTAATTCC